TTAAGAAAACATAACATGGGGCTGGGGATACGGCTCAGTTGGTAGAATGCTTGCCTCGCATGCACAAGGCCATGGGTTCAATCCCCAGCACCAAAAAACAAACAAAGAAAACATAACAGGGCATCTACCCTCTTTACAAAAATTTAAGCATCCAATACAACGTCATTAACTCTAAGGGACAGTGCTGTACAGATCTCTTGAGATTACTCGTCGTGCAAAACTATCCATCAGCAACTCAGCTTGTTTTGCCATCCCTCAGCTTCTGGCAATTGTATGGTCCTCTTTAATTCTAGAGTTTGACCATTTCAGATGCCTCAGATAAGTAGAATTGTGCAGTCTCTGTCTTTCTGTGCTGGCTGAATTCACTTAACAGTGTCCTCAAGATTCAGCCATACTGCCATACATTGCAGGATTTCCTTCTTTTTAAAGGCTGCATAGTATTTCTTGTAGGAAACTCTGTTTTCCTGCTTCCTTTTAAAAGTGTGACTTCCCAGAAGTTTACCCCAGCTCTGGGTTTCTCTTACTGGTGGAGACGAGTGAGAGATTATCCCCACCTTTATTTCACTGCTTATAGTTTCCACCTGACTTCCTCACCCAGCTGAGCTGGGGGTAATCTAAAACTCCAAGGCCTTTTCTCCTATTCTTGCACTAAGCTCCGCCCATCCCACCTTGTGCTTCTGCACTTGGTATTTTGTCCCTAGGGGAGGACATGACAGCTTTCTCCACCAAGTTGCATTTTGCTCTGCATGTTGTGGGTAGCCACCTAGTCACCTGAGGGGTTTTTGGATCCTGATCGTTTGCCTGAATTCCTGATTCTTATTCTGAGCTGATGTGATAAGCCTGGCTGTTCTTTCCGCATCCATAGCATTGACAAAGGCTTTTACAGTTTAGGTAACTGCCAGCACCTTGGGGCAAGCCACCAGAAGCTATCCGTGGACCATGACACTTAAAATATGGTCCTAGATTCACTGCAATAGAAATAATCTGAGATACTAGTTGAAAATACAGATTTCTGATTTTCCAGAAATATAGCATCTGAACTGATGGAGGTGGGCCCAGGAACCTGTATTTTTAATCAACATACCATATGATCTCAGTGTGTGGCACGTTTGGGAACAATCAACTCCAGAGTTCACTGCCTTGTAAGGCACAGAACAAATTCCAGTTTGATCCACTCCAAGGCTAACATCTATAGCCCAGCCTGCTGGGATGGGAGTGAGCACTGGTAGAGTGTTGCTTGGTTCTACAGATAAGGTCAGTCTATGGGGGACACCCAAGCTCTACACAACAGCTCCTGATCTTTCTCTGCTCTGTCCTCTATGCTCCCATGAATCTTTGCTTTTGTCTCTTTGGTTCTGTGTCCTGGCTTCCAATGCCAGTTTCAGCTCCTGGACTGCAGCGTAGGTCTGACCTCCTCTGCAGACAACTGATTCCAGAGTCTCCCTAGCTTCTGCTGAGAGGTGCCTCTCGACCCTACTGTACTGAAACAAGCAACTCTTGGGAATACAAGAGTTAAACTTCAGTTAGTGCATTGCCCCAGACTACCTCGCTTTGAAGGCAGGATCTTAATTATTCAGATTCACTTCCTATTCACATTAGTTTTATTCCAAGATATCTATGATGCCCAACATGTAACGTGCTGGGGGAGGGAGGTACGCAGTAGGTGTTCACTAAACCTTTCCTTCAGGAGAATTATTTAGTTTGATGCAATGGCTGGGAGAGTGAAAATATTGTGGGCTTTGGGGCAAGGATGATATGAATGTGCATTTTAGCAGTCCTGTTTTCAGCTGTGTGGCCTTAGCCAAGATAATTAACCTTTCTGAACCTCCAGTGTCTCAAATATAAATGAGAAGTGTGGGCTTTAGCTCTGAGGGGGCTTTAGTTCTCAGGCTCTATGATTCCTTATAAGTCACAGATCTCCTCTTACTGGCTGGTACCAAATTTAGGGTCCTCCCTCAGGAGGCACTCCTTTGCAGTCAAGTCTTGCAGCTCAAATCAGGCTGGAGTTCTCTTCCCCCCCCGGGGCACGTGGCAGGCTCTGGGCAGATCCTGCATGAGCATAATCACTCCACAGGCCTGCGCCAGCCCCCCGCTAATCACCAGGCTGTCACTCTAACTCAGCAGCACTCCGCCACTCACCTAAGTAGTCACTCTGGCTTCTGCCCATGAGCTCCTTTCATCCACTTTTGTTGATCACTGTTGAAGCATTTTTTAATCAAAACAATTAAATATGCTAAATCTTCCTCAATTAGTTATGCATTAAAAATTAAAAGTACTCGAATGGAAATGGCAGAAGGAGCCCTCTGCTTGGTGCTGAGTGTTGGTGCTTGGAGCACGGCTCCCCCCAGGCACTTTCAGCTATGGAAACTGATACTCACACAGTGACGGAGGCTGAAGCTGACACAGGCCGGGGAGGACAGCCCCTTCTCCCCATAAATGGGAAACTGAGGCCCAGTGAGATCTGGGCCCTTTCCCAAGCTCTCAGAGGGTGTCAGTGGCTGGGATCTGAATTTCTAATATTTCTTCCACTGGAAACCCTTACCAAAGGGCTCATGGCTTTCATTTATTCACAAGTCTTTTGTTTTTCCATTCATCTGTCATTTATTCTGAATACTTACACCATGGCAGGTACTGTGCTGCTACACTCATGAGAAAATGGGGAAGAAGATACACGTCCTTGACCTCAGAGAAGCTGTCATTTAATGAGAGATACAGGCAAATAAAGTTTGATTCTCAATACCCCCTTGAAAATATTGAATCTAAGTCTCAATTGCAAAGCCTAATTCCTTTGTTCTCACCAGACTAGTAATCCGACAACGGGTAATTATTTCATTTTTGCTTTAAAAGGAATTATATTGGGCTGGAGATGTGGCTCAAGTGGTAGCGCGCTTGCCTGGCATGCGTGCGGCCCGGGTTCGATCCTCAGCACCACATACAAATAAAGATGTTATGTCTGCCGAAAACTAAAAAAATAAATATTAAAAAAATTATCTCTCTCTCTCTCTCTCTCTTAAAAAAAAGGAATTATATTTTGAAATGCAAACTCTAATTTACAGCTTTCAGAAGACTCCTTTAGCTACAGATAAAGTTGACCTCTGAACCTGGTCCACATCTTGCTTCTGTCTACTTACCTAACTCTGTCTTTTCAGGCTAGCTCAGGCTTGGGAACCAGCTCTATTCATTGATGAATTCTGTTCTTTGTGTAATCGGGGCGCATGGCCTTACTGCTTTAAAGAGTACTTTCCTCATCTGTAAAAGCAAGTTCCTCCGTGGGTCCTGTAGGGAAGACAAAGTCAAAGGCAGCTGATGTGGGACCGACAGTCCTTGTGGGGTTAAAGGGAAGGCAGGTAGATGTACCTATCCATCTACCATCTATCCATCTTCTAGCAGGGAACTGACCCCTCTGTGGTACCCAGAGGACCTAGACAAAAAGAATTGTGGTGACTGTGGGCATGAGGGTGCCAAGGACATTGATAGCTGTAAAGAAAGTGGGGATCATTCTGATCCAAAGATGCTTCATGGAATAAATGATATTTGAATGGGAGCTTTAGTAGACTTTGGAAAGACCTTGAAGGAGGAGAAAGGAAGACATTCATATGGAGGGCCAACCTGGGCACAATGGTGAGCAGCACGGGGCCACGTGGAGATGGATGTGTTAGAATCAATGCCTCCAGGAGGCTCAGTAGACAATGGATAAAGGAAGAAGAATTAACATCTTCTAAGCAACAAGTTTTAACAATATATATCCCTTCTCATTTCAAGAAATATTTGGATTGGAACCATACAGAAGAGAAATCTGTTTTTTATTTTTTTTTATTTTAGAGTATTAAATATGGGTTCTTTTTTTTTTTTTTTTTTTTATTGTTGGCTGTTCAAAACATTACATAGTTCTTGATATATCATATTTCACAATTTGATTCAAGTGGGTTATGAGCTCCCATTTTTACCCCATATACAGATTGCAGAATCACATCAGTTACACATCCATTGATTTACATATTGCCATACTAGTGTCTGTTGTATTCTGCTGCCTTTCCTATCCTCTACTATCCCCCCTCCCCTCCCCTCCCCTCCCCTCCCCTCCCCTCTTCTCTCTCTGCCCCCTTTACTGACATTCGTTTGTCCCCCTTGTATTATTTTTCCCCTTCCCCTCACTTCCTCTTGTATGTACTTTTGTATACCTCTGAGGGTCTCCTTCCATTTCCATGCATTTTCCCTTCTCTCTCCCTTTCCCTCCCACCTCTCATCCCTGTTTAATGTTAATCTTCTTCTCATGCTCTTCGACCCTACTCTGTTCTTAGCTACTCTCCTTATATCAAAGAAGACATTTGACATTTGTTTTTTAGGGATTGGCTAGCTTCACTTAGCATAATCTGCTCTAATGCCATCCATTTCCCTGTAAATTCTATGATTTTGTCATTTTTTAATGCAGAGTAATACTCCATTGTGTATAAATGCCACATTTTTTTTATCCATTCATCCATTGAAGGGCATCTAGGTTGGTTCCACAGTCTAGCTATTGTGAATTGTGCTGCTATGAACATCGATGTAGCAGTGTCCCTGTAGCATGCTCTTTTTAGGTCTTTAGGGAATAGACCGAGAAGGGGAATAGCTGGGTCAAATGGTGGCTCCATTCCCAGCTTTCCAAGAAATCTCCATACTGCTTTCCAAATTGGCTGCACCAATTTGCAGTCCCACCAGCAATGTACAAGTGTACCCTTTTCCCCACATCCTCGCCAGCACTTGTTGTTGTTTGACTTCATAATGGCTGCCAATCTAACTGGAGTGAGATGGTATCTTAGGGTGGTTTTGATTTGCATTTCTCTGACTGCTAGAGATGGTGAGCATTTTTTCATGTACTTGTTCAAGAATGGGCACTTCAACCCAGATCTCTCAGACTCCAAAGCTGAAGTTAGCTTTTGCCAGTATGAGCTGGCTGTACTGTCTCAAATGTCTGTTAGTATCTCAGCATTTTGTGTTTTTCTGTCTCCTTATTGCAGGTACTACCAGCAAAGACATTGAGACATGCATTGGAGGTGGCCTCGGCTTGGAATATGATGATTTTATCAAAATTGAAGGAAGTTTATCTGGAAAATATTGTGAAAGATCTGGAACTGGCAAAACTGGCAAGTGTTTAGCAATGAGTCTCCCTAAAAGAGAAGCCAGCCTTTCCTTGAAACCATCAAGGAATGAAAGTGATTGGTTTCATTTTAGTCAATAGTCACAGTGCAGATGCTAAACACCCCACCCCATGCATGTAGGGCTCTATTTTGAATCCCCACGCCCTGTAACCACCTAGGAAATATCTGAGTTTGTATGGAGCGATCCCTCCACCCCCATCCTCAGATTTCTAGTACTAGACAAAGATCCATCCAAGCAAGAGCTGGGATGAAGGGAATGTGTCAGGAGAATTTGACGAATGGGCTGTTGGAATGAAGACTCATCAGATAACAGTCCTGAGGGAAGAAATGAGGCTGTAGGGAGAAGTGGAATGTGATTACGAGGTCCAAGCTCACAAGAATATTTGGTGGCATTTCCTTAACAAATTAATATGGCAATTCCTGTATTCATTGACTCATTCATTCATCAAACATGCATTGAGTAATTTTTTTTCATATGAGAGGCAGAGGACTCAGGGATTAGGAAACATTTTATAGAGCAGTCGGGGAAGCACATCCTAAACCAGTTCACAGTCGATCCTTAGCGCTAGGTTGCTCCTGCCTCAGGGCCTTCAGTCACAGTCCCTCCACTCCCTGCTGTCCTGCCTTGACCTTTCCTTTCTCTTGGCCAACACTTACTCACCTTCCTAGACAACTCACCTTCCCCCTGACCCCCCTCATCCCCGACTGAATATTTGACCACTTTCTGATGGCCCCCACTGAGCCCTATGGTGAAAACTGTCATGGCATTTGTGATATCTGATTGAATCTTTTTGGCACATAGGAAGACCCAAAACAACTTTATTTTTTGGGGGGTGGGGTGGGGCAGGGCAGGTACCAGGGATTGAACTCAGGGGCACTCGACCACCAAGCCACATCCCCAGCCCTATTTTGTATTTTATTTAGACACAGGGTCTCACTGAGTTGCTTAGGGACTCGCTTTTGCTGAGGCTGGCTTTGAACGCAAAATCCTCCTGCCTCAGCCTCCAGAGCCACTGGGATTACAGGTGTGAGCCACTGGGATTACAGGTGTATGACACCATGCCCAGCCTGAGTCAAATTTGAAATAGGAATGGATGGATGAGTGGATAAATGGCCACCCATTTCCCCATCCCCTTTATCTTCCCTGTTGGGCGTGGCTAGCTCCTCAGTGTCTGTTCTACTCCAGAGGATGAGTCTGTTTCCATGTCTTGGTCCTTCCTTTGCCTTGTCCTGCTAGTTAGTTAAGCCGAGCAGAAGATGGGAAACAGCTCTGTGGAGAGAACATCAACATTATTCTCGATCTCATTAGTGGAGCTTGGCAGCCGGTTTTCTGGCTTTTGGGAGAAATGAGCTAATGCAGTTATCCCCTTGGTAGGAGAAAAAGACAAGAGGGCCACGGCTGTGGAAGACGTCATTTCTCGGGTGCGAGGTGGCAGTTCTGGCTGGGGCGGTGGCTTGACACAAAACAGCAGCGCCATTACATACCGTTCCTGGGGGAGATCATTAAAGTATAATCCTGTTGTTATCGATTTTGAGGTAAGTCTTTTCGCAGCTGAAGAAGCCCTACGTCCATGAGGAATGAAAGTGAAGCAGACCAGATCATTTCATATTTCTTATTATGAGCCCATCAAAGAACAAGATTAAATGTAACGGCACACTGACTAGAGGGAGGGTGTGGCTTGAGACCAGGTCCAGGGAGAACCGGGGTCCAAAACCGACTGGCTCCTCTGGGGCCAGGTTTATACCAGTGGTTTGGAAGGTCAGCAGGGTTAGGGCCCATTAAACAAATAAAACCTTGTTTAATTACAAAAATTATATATGTCATGTAAGAGCTTGGCAGGTTTTTTTTTTCTCTAAAGGGCCAGATAGTATGTATTTAGGCTTCATGTACAGTCTTTGACACACAGTGGGACTGGTGGATGCTTCCTTTCTCTTCTTCTTCTTTACCACTCTTTAAAAAATGTAAGTGCCATTTTTAGCTCAAAGACCTTACAAAAAAACAACCTGTGGGTTCAACTTGGACTCAGGCTGTAATTTGCTGTCCCTGTTCTAAATGATCTCATCTCCTCATCAGTGAACAGATCCTTGGGCATAGGTGTGATTCTCCCCATTAAGAAGATGGGGAAACCAAGGCTTGGGGAAATTGAGTGAGTGTTTAAAGGACACAGATTTCACTAGGGGCAGTGCCTGGACTTCAGAGCTGTGGATTTCGTATCCAGTTCTCACTTCCTTCTGTCCTAACAGATAAATAAACAGTGGAGGTGATTGTGATCTAAAGAGAAAATGTGGCAATGTCTAGTACATCTGATTGTTACAGCTGGTAGGGGACAAGGTCAGCACCACTGGAATCAGAGGCCATGGACGCTGGCAGACATCCTACAAGACACAGAATAGCACCCCCCCCCCCCATCCCCTAAAGAAATCCTGAGTTGGAATGAATGTCAATAGTAACAAAGTTGAGAAAACTTGGCTTAAACCACTAACCTCACAAAGGGAGTCAAACTACCAAATCTGCCAAGGAAGCGGCATATTCTAGCAGTTGTCCAGCTATGCAGGGTAGTCTAGTTTTTTTTTTTTTTTTTAAGTTTGTGTTTCAGCCTTTTAAGCAAAGTATTGTTTTCCCAACCATATTTTCTTGCTCTCCTTGCCCTTTTATTTACGGGCATTTACAATCCCAGGTATGGACGTACCTCTTCTCCTAAAACAGATCCTAACTGTTAAACCTAAAAACCTATCGTACCACCCTGCTTTCTATGAAGAAAGAGGTCAGATGGATTAACCTTGCTTTCATTTCTTTGCCAATAAGGGACCACTTTCACGCACCTGTAATTCACATAGGGTCTGAAAATTGCTATCATCAAGCTATTAGTGATTTGGGCAAAAACTGTAAAATTGATATCAGGAGAAATACATAAACTTTCATGGTCAAAAGGTGAGCTTTGTGTTTGCCCTGAGCAAAACTTCCAAAACGAAAACTGAGGTCCATAATTTGGAGGCTGAACATTGTCTTTGCGAAAAAAAGAGCTTGGTATTTGAAAGGAAGGGAAAAGAGAGTCTAAATCAGGCTTGGCCACCTTTTTATTTTTAATTTTTGGTACTAGGGATTGAACCTGGGGGTGCTTAACCACTGAGCAACATCCCAAGCCCTTTTTATATATTTTATTTAGAGACAGGGTCTTGCTGGGTTGCTCAGGGCCTCACCAAGTAGCTGAGGCTGGCTCTGAACTTGCTATCCCCCTGCCTCAGTCTCCTGAGCAGCTGGGATTACAGGTATGTGCCTTCGTGCCCAGCATAGCCACCTTTTCCATGTGTGAACTTGGGTGAGCTCTCTCACTCTGTGAGCCCAGTTTCCTTTTGATAACATGGGAGTAATATGCTACATTTCAAAGTTAGAGAGACAGGAGCAGGAATTTAGCAAATGCCGGTAGACGAAGCAGAGGCTGAGTAGCCAGCACAGGAGCTCCTAGCTTCCCAACGATCAGGATCAGCACCACTTGAGCCTGTTGGGCTGACTGTCACACCCAGGATCTCCAGAACCCACACTGCTCCCCAAGAAGTGTGAATTTGACACATTAAGCCACTGGCAGGTTTCAGAGCAGGGAAATGACACAGTTGGTGCTGCTTCAAAAAGAGAATGTTCCCAGGGAAAGGAAGGACAAACCTGAGGAGAGAGAGGGCAGAGGGGAGGTCTCGTGAGGGGTTGGGGGGACTTGTTGTCCAGCGTGGAGACAGGGTCTTACTGGCATGTCCTCTGAGCTGGCAGTGATTACTCCCAGCAGGTGCTCCGGTGAGTGAATGCAGGAGTCGTGTCTTGTACGCTTTATGCTCTGTACACCACGTTGCTGCGTTGTGTGTGCTGTGTGTCATTTATAGTGTGTGGCCACCTGCTCTGAATCTCTTTGTTCCCCTGTAAATGGGGATCAGATCATTGCCGATGTCTTTTTGGAGTTCACATTCTAAGACTCTTCTCCACCTCTCTTCTTTTGGGAAAATCCCACCAGCCCTCCCCAGGGTGGCTTCCTGCCCATTTCCTGAGGTCCTGAAAAGGGGAGGCCTGAGCTGGGGACTTAGTGCTGAGCCCCGCTGCATGGCCAATGGGACATTGAGATGGTCCTGGCCTTCCCCGGTACTGAGGGTCATCTTTAACCAGAGCCACAGGGCAGCCCATTTTGCACCGGTGTCCTAACTGTGGGGCCAAATTCTCTGAACTTCCAGTAAGTGATCCTCTCCCCTTGGCCAGGGGCCCAGCCAGTCCGGACATCACCTGCCTGGTGACCTGGGCCTCATGCCCTGACCACACGCCAAGGTCTTTTTGTCCATATTTCCAGGAACCAGCCTGGGCTACTGCAAGCACCCTCTGTTGACTGCTTCCAGAGCGGTACCCCACTGTGACGCCCACTTTGACCCGCTCAGGACTCCAGCCAAGCACTTTGCCTGTTGGGTTCCCTCTCCCACTTTTTTTTTTTAAACTATCGTCACATCTAACTAATGAAATGGTACTTTAATATTAGTTAAATTATAAACAATTAATCATTGATATTAATTTAAAATATTAATTTCATTTAATATAAAATGGGATTTTATATTATTCTTCCTCCTTACAATAGAGACTCTTACACTCATTTCTTCTTTAGATTATAAAAGTTCTAGGAAATAGGTGCAATGCCTGTTTTATGTTCAGAGGAGCAGACTCAAGAGAGAGGTGGTGAGGAGTCCTCAGCCGGGCACCTGGGAAGGGAGTGTGGTTTTTCAGCCTTCCCTGTGTGACAGAGCTTTCCATGTGTCACCTCCCACCACTCACAGGGAACCTGGAGGGTGGGATGGCTGTTCTCACTTTACCAAGGGGGGAGGGAGGCTCAGTGTGATGCATGCCAAAGATCCCACAGCTGGAAACAGCACGGCCTGGATCTGAAGCCGGGTTTTCTGGCTCCAGATTCAGTGCTTTTTCAACCACGTCTACTGAGTCTGAGCCAAAGGCAATTTTGCCACCAGGGGACATTTGGTAATGCCCATGAGACAGTTTTGATCATGACTGCAAGGATGTTGCTGGCATCTAGTGCAGAGACCAGGGATGCTACTAAATACCCTGCAATACACAGGACAGCTCACTTCCACCAATAAGGAACTCTCCAACTGAATGCAGGAGTAGTGCCCAGCCTGAGAAACCCTGGAGTCCTGCCCGGAGTGGGTAGCCTCAAATGCCCTCGAATGGTCCCTACCCACCTGCTACTACGCTTACCTCATTAGGGGATTGCTCAGCAATAGTAACACAACTACCTTTATTGAGACCCATATTGAAGGGTGATGGTAAAAACCAAAAATATGCCCCAAAACACAGACAAATGCATTATATGCTTCCTCATTCCTGAAAGTGCTGGAGGGGGCAGATGCGTTGGCACAAGTGATGTCTAGGGTCCCTTTAACTCTGGGACTGGGAGAGCACAGGTTTCAGAGGAAGCAAGCCCATGTTCGGAGAGGCTCTTGCACTTCACAGCTGTGTGATCCTGAGTCACTCACTTGAACATTCTGAGCCTCCATTTCCTTATCTGCCAGCTGGAGTGTTTAGTGCCAATTCATGGTGTGGCAGGATCAAGTTAGGTATCCGCCTTTGTGCCCAGCATATAGCGGGCCTACCCAAAGCGTGGCAGCTGGTTTGGGGGCTCCTGGATTCCAGGAAGAGGCCCTTGTTCTGTCTGTGCCTGCAGATGCAGCCCATCTATGAGGTGCTGCGCCACGCAAACCTGGGGCCGCTGGAGACCAAACGCCGGAACCTGCGCCAGGCCTTGGACCAGTACCTCTTGGAATTCAACGCCTGCCGCTGTGGGCCCTGCTACAACAATGGGGAGCCCATCCTGGAGGGCACCAGCTGCCGATGTCAGTGTGGCCTGGGTCGCCAGGGCCCTGCCTGTGAGCGGATGGAGCTAGAGGGTAAGAGCCTTGCATCCCACTCGGTGTTGGCCTGGCCCAGCTCCAAGAGGCCAGTGCAGAAGGGACCTTAGGGTTCCTGGCCCCTCCTTTCTTTCTTTTTTTTAATTGATTTTTTAAAAATATAAATGACAGAGGAATGCATTACAATTCTCACTACATGTATACAGCACAATTTTTCATATCTCTGGTTATTTAAAGTATGTTGACATCAATTCGTGTCTTCTTACATGTACTTTAGATGATGACGTCCATCACATTCCACATCATTTCAAACCCCATGTCCCCTCCCTTCCCCTCCAACCCCTCTACCCTATCTAGAGTTTATCTAACCCTCCATGCTCCCCCTCCCTACCCCACTATGAGTCAGCCTCCTTATATCAGAGAAAACATTTGGCATTTGGTTTTTTGGGATTGGCTAACTTCACTTAGCATTATCTTCTCCAACGCCATCCATTTACCTGCAAATCTGGCCCCTCCTTTCTATGTCCTCTCTGTATCCGCCAACCTGGGAACCCACACACTATTGTCCCATTCCTGACCCCATGTTTAATGGCTCTTGTGCCTTCTCCCTGCCATCAAGACTCTCTGTTGTCTCAGCCTTCTGGAAGCTGGAAGTGCAGACTTCAGGTGCTTTGCCAGACTGGTTCTGGACTCTGAGCAACCTGTGCTCTGTGCCTCTCTCCTGGCTTCCAGTGTTGTTGGCAATCTTTGGGTCCCTTGATTTGTAGATGCGTCACTCCAAATTCTGCCTCCATCTTTACATAACATTCTTCCCTTTGTGTCTGTTTTCTTATAAGCATACAAGTCGTTGGATTAGTGCCTACCCCAATCCAGTATGACCTCATCCTCACTTGATTTCACCTGCAAAGACCCTATTTCCAAACAAGGTTACGTTCACAAGGAATGGGGATTTGGACTTGAACATGTCTTTTTTAGGAACACAATTCAACCCCTACAAGGGATAAGTGTTGTCATTGCACTCCTAAACTAGCCTGGAGTCAAGACCCAAACCGAGATCGGGGCAAGTAGGTTTCAATGTATAGGCTGCAGCATGAACCAGTGGACACCAGGAAGAGTTAAAACTTCATGCTGGGAAGATGAAGCGTGAGGACCCAGATATGAATCCCAGCTATTGCACTATTTTCTGACACTTAACTTTCCAATCTACATTCCTTTGAGCTCCAAGAATCTCAATGCATGTCCCACTACCTAAGCTTCCAACTTTCCAGGAGCACAAAACTGTTTCTCTATGGTGCACAGAATGATAGCAAAGCACACGGGCTGCCAAAGCAATGTAGAAATCAATCTCATTTGGCTGCTGTAAGGAAGAGCATGTAAAGGAAGTCTGTGGGTAAATCTAAGATACTCTGGTCCATAAAACAAATTGTTGAAGCACAGGGTGGAATGGGGTGGTGGTGAGGTGTGTGGCTCCACAGCCACGTGAAGAAAATGGACCAAGCATTCAATACCAACAGATGTCCCCAAAGCAAAGGGCTAGGTTAATAGAAGTAAAGAGCTGGAATGAGGTGCTTCTTTGAAGTCCCAGGAGCTTTGCTCTTGGTGCCTGCTTTATCAGACATTGGCCAAGCAAAGTCTTCTTTGGCAACTAAGGGAATCTGGAAGATTCAAACCTGTGTCCTAGGAGGAAGAGCATGGAGAAGATTCAGGAGGGAAAAGTCCCCCTGCAAATGACCATGTGGGAAAGGAGGAGACTTGTTTTGTGTGGCTACAGATATGAAGTTGTAGGATTAATGAAGAGAAATTAGAGCAAAAGGATTTTGGTTTAAATGAGGATCAACTTTCTTCCAGACACACTGTGCTATGTGTGCAGTAAGAGAGAGAGAAGGCTGTCCACTTGTCAGAAAGTTCTAGAAGGGATTCATTCATCCAGTGGATGGTAGGGTGAGATGGTCTCAGGGTCTCTTCCACTCCTGAAATCTCCGAGTCAAGTCATACATATGGAATTAGCATGATGCTTGTGACCTGGGTAGGGTTGGGGACAGAGGAAGCATTTGAAGCCCCAGTCTTTCTATATCTGTTCCTGTCACATGCAGTAGGTTACAGGTACTTCATTAACTTTTTTCCAAGCAGGGTACGGATGTCAGGTGGCCTTGGGACTATTGAGCTGAACTTTCAGCCTGACAGAGAATACATTGGCAAGGGAATCTAAGGCTGGGGAGTCCATCAACCACTATGGAGACCCATTAGAGTCCCTAGGAGTCTTCCCAGCAAAACATTGCCTCTGGGAACAAAGTCACAGATGGGAGAAACAGAGACAGAGAATTCTACTGTGGCTGCCCCATCAGGGAGCATAATTACAGAGCTGGAAGGGACATGGAGATAATCTAATCCAATGATACTCACACTGGGATCTGAGGAGGCTTGGGGTCCTCAGGGCTGCCCCAGAGGAGGCGGGTGAGCCTGATAAACACCCCAGCTTCCAACAGAACAGTTCTCCTTTCATCTGACTTGAATGTTGGGGTCCGTGGAAGATTTCATTTAGGAAAAAAAGTAGTGATGAAAAAATAATAATGAAAAGAATAGATTAGTCCATCCTTCTCGTGTTATAGAATTGAAACAGCCTTGGAGAAGAAATGGGGTTGCCCAAGGGCATAGAGACGCTGGTAGGAAATCAGCTCCCTGGACTGGATCCTAGGTGCTGGATTTTCAGACATTCCACAGTCAGTGCATGTATTCTGATGTCCTATGCAGAGAATCTGTTGCCCACCGTGTCCCCATTATCAGAGTCTGTGGGGAGTTGATTTGGAAAACGTCATACGAAAGCCCAGCCATCTGCTCAGGAGAGGTATCTAGCCAAACTTTTGCTCTGAATTCCCAGCTGGGCAGTATCCCTGCTCGCCACACCCTCCAGTGTCTTGCTGTCCTCCTTCCAGAGGAGCTTGCCTCCGGCCTCCCTCCGCTATCCATCTTCCATGGAATCGCAGATTCCAATTTTATGAGATGGGTTCCCAGTGGCCTCTTCTCACTCTGCCCCCGAGTTTCAAATTAAGTGTGAGGCAGTGAGCACAGAGGTCTTGGTGGGCTACCCCAAGGCATCTCCCCACCGAGGGACTGCAGACTACTCCAGGGTGACAGGACGGCCCTCCCTCTGCACATTTCAGCCAGTGGCTTCCCCCAGGCTAACCTCTTCCTCTCCTGGGAAATTCTCTCTGCAGGAGCCAAAGCTGATGGTCGCTGGAGCTGCTGGAGCTCCTGGTCTGCGTGCAGAGGAGGCACCCAGGAAAGGAGGAGAGAGTGCAACAACCCTGCACCCCAGAACGGAGGCGCCTCATGCCCAGGGCGGGAAGTGCAGACCCGGGCCTGCTGAGCTGGGGGACATGGGCTGGATGCTGCAGAGGGGGCCACTGGCACTGGCTACTGGATCCAATTTTCTTTCAGCTGAGAGAAAGTGCAGATCAACACAGATCCGTTTTCTTTGATCATTCATGGCATCGTGGGCTTTTCCAGCATGAACCCACAAATTCTTCCGGCCCCCACCCACTACCCAGTTTTAAAGCTGCTTCTCTGTTGTAGATATTTGCGACAGCAGCACCTCCCCTTTGCAGTATGGTTTTTCTGTCCTTGTCTATTCAGGCCGCTGTAACAATACAAGGGGTGGCTTATAAACAACAGAGATTTCTTTCTCACAGTTCTGGATGCCAGAAGTCTAAGATCAAGTTGTCAGCGGATCCAGTGTCTGGGGCTGGCCCACTTTCTGGTTTAGCCATGACCATCTTTTTGCTGTGTGCTTCCACATGGCGGAGGGGACTACCGATTCTCTAGGGCCTCTTTCAGGAGAATTCCACCTTCATGATCCAATCAATCACCCTCCCACCAAAGTCCAACATCCTAATAAGACCAACACCTTTGGGGTTTGGACTCCAATGTATAAACTTGAGGGGACACAGACATTCTGACCAGAGCACATATACTCAGTCCCATATCTCCTGTAACTATTTATAATCTTTTTTTTCCCCCAAGAGATGGTAAACTTGAGGGAGGAATCAGGTTTGTTTTGTATAACACTGTATTCCCAGAAGCCAGGGCTGGGCCTTGAATACAGCAGGGAACTAGTCAGCAAACGAATGGATCCAAGGGCCATATCAGAGATGAGATCTGTACTGCCCAATCTTCCAGTCAATCTCATTTGGAAAGTCCAACCAGGGACCATCAACTAGTCTTCCCTGACCTATCCCCGGGAGAGTCGATCACACCAGCCCCTCTTAGTGTCCCACAGCACTCTAGCCATGCCTCAGGTAGAGGGCATGCTGTGTGACACTGAATTTTCTGTTTTTCTATTAGTTTTCTGTACCAGATTTTGTGTCACTTGTGTTAGTCAGCTTGTTATTGCTGTCACCAAAATACCAGACAAAAATAACTTGAAGGGGGAAAGATTTATTTTGGTTCACGGTTTCAGAGGTTCAGTCCATGGTTGGCCAGCTCTGAGGTGCAATCATCATGGTGGAATGGTGTAGCCCAGGAAAGCTGCTGGACGCATGGCAGCTGGTGGGAAGGGGAGCAGGGAGAGAGGGAGGGAGAGAGAGAGAGAGAGAGAGAGAGAGAGAGAGAAGGGAGAGGAGGAGGAGGATGGGGAGGAGGAGCAGGAGGAGGAGGAGGAGGAAGAGGAAAAGCAGCCAAGCACAACATAAACCTAGGGCATGCTTCCAGGGACCTACTCTTGCCAACTAGGTCCCACCTCCCAGTAATTCTTTTGGCCATCAATGGATTGATGTACTGATGAGGTCAAAGCCCTTATGATCTGATCATTGCCTAAAAGTGCCACCTTTGAAGTTTGTTGCATTGTGGACCATGCTTTCAACACACAAACTTTAGAGGAACATTCCAGATCCAAGCTATTATACCCCTGAAGGCCAAATCTACATTCCTAATGTAGAGTAGGTTCTTAGGTACTAGGTGTGTAGACTGGCATATATATTGGTGCTTCATAGCTTTCTATAGTCCACAATCTTATTAGGGTAGTAATAGATTTATTTACAGTTGTCCCTTGGAAGCTATAGAGGATCAGTTCCAGGACCTCCCATAGATACCAAAAATCTATGGATGCTCAAGTCTCTTATATAAAATGTCAAAGTATTTGCATATAAGCTGGGCATATCCTTCTGTATACTTTAAATCATCTCTGGATTACTTGTAACACCTACTACATTATAAATACTGTGCTCATAGTTGTTACACCGTATTGTTTAGAGAATAATAGCAGGCAAAAATGTCTGTACATGTTTAGTCAGACACAACCATCACAGTCCTGACCCATTCTCCTTCCCAGGTTGGTTGAAATCACAGATGAGGAACACTTGAGTATGGAGGACCAACTGCATACATGAAGCAAGTAGAGTTTAGAGCCCACAGGGAATTACCTACTGAGTTAATACCCAAATATGTGGCACATAACATAAATGCTGCAGGTGGCCAGGAGGGAGACAGACTTATCTGTCCCCTGGTGTGTAAGTTATGGATGGCAGGAGTTTAACCCAGACCTTGAAGGATATTTGAATTCAGTAATTAGGGAGGTGATCTTTGAGTTAAAAATTCAGCACAAGACAAAGTTTGACAGGGAGACAGAATATTGTGTGTGTGTGCATGTCCGTGTGTGTTTGTGTGTGAGAGAATAGAAAAGATAGTTCAAGAAAATAAAACAAAGTACATAAAACACTTATCACAATGCCTGTCACACAGCAAATTATCATCACCATTATTAATTAAAGAATATGGTTTAGAAGTTATTTCTAAATAAACTTAGATCTTCTATCTGAAAGGAGGAAAAAGAAAGACGAATTCCTTACTGATTTTCATTCTGTCATTAATTTACTTTTTTATCCTCACAATTAATTTACATTAATAATTAATTTATATTCATTATTTACCAGGGAGTGGCAGTTACATGCTGGAAAGTGATCGGGGCCCAGATATGCCAGGCCAAGTGGGTAATTTACAGAGGACATTCAATCTTGATCTAGAAACAGTGGTTTCAACCTGGGCTGCACAGTAGAACCTATTGAGGAGTTTTGTAAATTCTGATGTCCAGAAGCTGCACCCCAGACTAATTAAATCCAAATCACTGGAGGTGGCAACCAGATATCAGGAGTTTTAAAAGCTCCCCCAGGCAATTCCAAGTGCAGCCAAGGTTGAAAACACATAAGAGTGGAGAAGGCCTCATATGGGGTGTGTGATGAGCAGAATTGCAGGAACAGAAATGTTCATTTGGCAACTCTGGAGGAAGAGGCAGGAGGCTCACAAGTTTGAGGCCAGCTCTGGGTGCTTAGCAAGACCCTGTCTCAAAAAAAAAAAAAAAAAAAAATCAAAAGGACTGGAGACATAGCTTAGAGGTAAAGTACCCTGGGTTCCATCCTAGTACAGAAAAATGATTTTTACAAAAATTTGTGCTATTTTATCTAGTCTTATCAAAAACCTCTTACGGTTTGTCCTGTGAGATCTATTTTACAGCTAAGGAAACTGGATGGCAGCACGGTTGGGTCAAGCGTCACAGGGCTGGAGGGCTGTGGATTGGCTGTGTTCTATGGAGCCCACGCTTCTCCCAGCCCTTCTCTCTCTGCTGTGTGTTGGCTGCCTGTGGAGGGATCTGAAGGATCACCCGGGCTGCATGATAAAGGGGAGAAATGAGAGGCAAGGAGGCTCCTGAGGAGACCAGGGTAGTAATCTGGGTGCATTTGGAGAAATTTTGGGTTTAAGCAACTATCTGGATCAAGTGTGAGCCCAAACCACTAGCTGGGCAATGCCATCTGCCTGTCCTCTGAGTCCAAGAACCGAGGCCAGCCTCTGTCCCACTGCTCTGAGGAGGCCTATCCCCAGAAGTTCTAGAAATTAAAATACAGCAGCTGTGGCCGTTTCAAAGGTAGCAGCCCTTTACCAGATCGGTGCCTTCCCTTCTTCAGGAATTCTTTGCTCCCACAAAGCAAAAAGCATAAAATGCTCTCAGCACATTCTTCCTCTGTCCTTTAAGGAGCTCTGTAATCTCAGGGTTTATAGGTAGTGGGTGTAAACACAAGGTTTAAAGATATAATCTTCAGCTTGACAAGGTGTCTTTTGAAAAGTAAATTAATGACAGAGAGAAAAGCAATAAGAAGAGCTTTCTTCTTTTTTTTTTTTTCCTTGAGAGAGAGGAAGATCTAAAGAGCTCAGCACTCAATGAATCTCTTCTGAACGATGTGCCTTTAGGGTGAGGGAAATGGACAGAGAGAAAAGGAAGGCTTCAAAAGCCACGCTGCAGCAATGAGCCGTGGCAGGGCGACTCTATGGAGAGGAAGGGGTGGGATGGGGATTAGCAGAGGGCGCTTCTCTCTCACAAAGAAAATTTACACCGCTGCCCCTCCACTGTGGAATCGGGCAACTGACCTTCAGGTGACCTCTAATGCCAGCCCCATGCCAGGTGCTGGAGGTTCAGAGAAGTCATATATGGTCCCAGACCAGGAATGATGCAGAACCTGGTGGAAGAGATCTGTGAACCATGGTGATGGGTCCCGGGACAGCAAGAAGCCCAGGGAGCTGTGGGAGACAGCCCAGCCAGGGGAGCAGAAAGAGTCTGGAGGAGGGGCGGGCACCCTGCAGAGTCTTGGAATCCAGCAAGAGTCAGAAAGGCAGCACAAGCCACTGGGGCACAATGTAGGGGAAATGGCCCCATGCAAAGTCCTCACCATGACATAGGCTGGGGCAGTTTCTGCACATGCTCCTTGGGTACTGGTGCTGGTCCTCATCAGGCTGGGGATGTCACTATTTTAGTCAACTTTTTCATTGCTGTGACTAAAGGACCTGACCTGGGCAATTGTAGAGGAGGAAAAGTTTATTTGGGGGCTCACGGTTTCAGAGGTCTCAATCCATAGACAGCAGTCTCCATTCCTCAGGGCTCAAGGTGAGGCAGGACATCATGGCAGAAGAGTGTGGCAGAAGGAAGCAGGTCACATGATAATCAGGAAGCAGAGAGAGACACTCCACTCTCCAGACACAAATATATACCACATAGCCACGCCCCTAGTGAACCACTTCCTCCAGCCACACCCCACCTGCCTCCAGTTACCACTCAGACCCATGGGGATTAAGTCACTGATTAGGTAAAGGCTGTGACCCTGGCATTTCTCCTCCAAACCTGCTTGCATTGTCTCACACATGAGCTTTTGGGGGACACCTCATCTAAACCACAACAGTCACTTGGCCTTTCCAGCAAGTGCTAGGTCTGAGGGAGACCCCCATAGCTACTTCCCAGACCCCTCTCCATTTACCTTGGGGTGCTTTTTGGGTGTAGTCGGAGGGAGGGGTTCAATACCCCATAACTATTATTATAAAGGCACAGCA